GAGAACATCGTGAGAACCAAGGAAAATAAGGTAGGAATTGGTGATCTTCTTAAATTTCTGAAGGTTATATGCCTCGGGAAACACCTTCCTTGGCAATGTGTTCCAGAGCCTTGCTGTTCGTTGAATGAACTAGTCTATGGAAAGAGATGTTCTGCAGGTCTCCAAAGTGACCACGAAGGGGTGCGAAGCCTCAAATCAACGAGTTAATCTCGCAGGGACTGCCAAGGGAGGAACAATTGTTGATATTTCAGAAGAGCATCGTCCATGAAAATATCTATAAAATAAAGCCAGATCGCCAACTTTGCTACGGTGTTCCTGAGAAGTGAAAGAGTTTGTGAGCGAGGCATCACCCACGAGACGAATTGCCCTTTTTTGGACAGAATCCAACAGTTTCAGGGTATGTTTGGGTGCTGCACTCCAAATATGGGAACAGTTTTCCAGAACAGGTCGGATCTGTGCCTTATAGATCATAAGCAGCTGACTGGACCGCTATTTATTTGAAAATATTCTATGCATCTTGGTCGATCGAGACCTTCCACAAAAAATGGCAAATAACCGTTTTGCGCCGAGGTCGCCAAATAGAAGCGGCATTTACAGAACAAGCTAAATTGTGTGAAGAATCATCTGACCATCCTTGCTCTAGTCGTACATGTAAAGATGCTCTGGAGCCTTGCGATCTAATTGCACGGTAAAAATACGAAGGTTTCCGAACAATTACGAATATGAAAAAATACCTCAATCGCACAAAGTGCAAATTTAATATTGCAGATTGTATCAGAATCGAAAAAAGGATGAGAAAATCTTGGTACTTTAATTGCCTATGTGCATGTTTCCATTGTCAATTAGTGCACGATCATCACTTCACCTAATCTCTTATACGTTTCAAATATGGTCCATATTTTACTGAAATCTTATTCTTCAGCTTATGTCCTTTCTTTTTTAAACAAGTATACTTCTCATATACATTTCAATACTAAACATATTTTTCGATAGCCCCTGAATTTATTAGACAACTCATTTTTGACAAAAAACAGATATAATGGCAGGAAGTAAGGATATTTGAACATAGATATCAATAAAATACCTAGTATGTAGAAATAAAAGTAAAGGTAAGTAAAACTCAATGAAGATGAACAAATTTAAATATGGTAGATATCTTATTATGCTGTCTCAATCGCTGGAACACGGCTCTGATTATGATGAAAACGTCTTCTTCCATTTTCGTGATAATGTATCTGCTATATAAACGTTTCTGGAAAACGGCATATTCCTGATTTAATATACCTTCAGCAGAAGGATATATAAGCTGAAGATAGTAGGATTTCAGTGAAATATGGACCATATTGGTAAGTTATATTTTTTCATCATAATACATCATAATCATTTGATCCGATTTGAAAAATGATACCAATTCTCAATTCAGGAGGATTCTCTCTGTTGAATATTCATAATGAGATTATGTGCATATATCTATATAAAGGAGAATGCAAATTCTCTAATTCAGAAGATTTTGTTTTTAAATTCTCATCGTGTTTGTTCAATAGTTGTAATTCAATGTTCGTCGCGGCATATAGCCAGGAAAGTAGTTGTTTTCTGTTGAATAAACCGAGAGAGAATTGATATTTTCATCCCATGAGGAATGCGAATTCTCAATGAATTTCTTTATATATTATATATTTATATATATATATATATAATTCATAATTATGTCTGAGAATATTCCTTTCAAATTATATCCTTCTTCTCTAACCCAACATATTTTATGAATGATTCATACAGGGTGTCTCTTGTCTCTACAAGGTCTGTACAAAACGCTAACACAGAATAGTAAGATTATAATATGAAGATAATAGTTTATCCTGCGCGCGTTGCTACGCTACTTACTAAAATAAATTTGAAGGAATGGCACATAAATTTCGAATTTATTTCGAGTCATTTTATTGATAACCGCCCCGGCAAACGTTGTTTTACTGTATGCACATTATTTCTAGAAAATATATTTCTAGTTGAATATTCAACAACATACTATTATTATTTTATTTTTCACTTCTGTTTAGTTTGACTGACCATAAATGCGTATTCTCTTAGTTTATCAAACTTATTCTTATTTTTTACTTCTTTCTAGAGTCACTGTATGGTATTAGTTTGATAACCATACAGTGACTCTACTTCTTTCCAGTTCGGCAACCTATCTCTTTAGTTTTCTAAACTACTATTTATGTTTTACTTCATTTTTGTTTGGCTATCTATGAAAGCGTGTTTCATTCGTTTGTCGAAAGAATATTTATCACAAAGTTTGTTCGACTTATTGAATCCACCATCTTGAATTTTCTAATTGGGACGGAAGAGATAATCTCCGACCCCAAAAACCCTGAGATACCACTTTCAAATAGAATCGGATCATAATTAATAAACTCGTATGCCGTATTGAATCTGCCCTATCGAATTTCTAAGATTTGATGAAGGAATCGTAGTCTCTGAACCCGAAAACCCCCAGATACCAATTTTGAACAGAATCGGATCATAATTACTAAAGTCGTCCGCGATATTGGATCCGCCATCATGAATTTTCAAATTTTGAGTAAAGAAACATAATCTTCTACTCCGAAATCCCCCATTAACCAATTTTGAATAAAATCGGACGATAATTACAAAACTCGCTCGCCATATTGGATTCGCTGTCTTGAATCTTCCAATTTTGTTGAAAGAAACATAACTTGCGACCCCAAAAATCCTCGGATACCAATTTTGAATAGAATCGGAACATAATTACAAATCTCGTCCACCATATTGGATGCGCCATCTTGTATTAAGGACCTACTTTCAAAGCGTCTCGTAGATTGTGATTGTTTATATTTTACACAATACCAAAAACATTAATATGAGCAAGTATGAAGAAGTATTTATGCGGATTCAGAATTCGGTATACTATGGAATACCAAAAGCATCGTGAACCCAAAATGTTTACATAAACTGGTATTTTTTGAATGGAACAATCTGTATTTTATTTTCCTAATCGCTAGAGCTTTTTCTTCTGATTTCAAAAATATATAGGTATACTTCATTGAGGTTATCTTTGTCAGTTTTCGATGAAATATAGATTTTGTCGTAAATCTAATCCAGAAGAATTAAGACAAAATGTGATTTCTGGCTGTAGAACCCATGGTGAAAAAAAAAATATTTTTCGCAAACTGTCAGTTTTTAGGTTCACGAAGCTTTTTTGCATTTCCTGGTACCTACTGAATTCTGAATGCCCATAAAAAAATTTTAATTCGCCTATTAAAACGTTTTTGCTTTTGTAAGGCCAATATATTAACTGAGATAGCTATTGAAAAAAATATGAATATTTTAGGACCCATAGTTGAACAAAACTTTCGACCTTTTTGACCTCAAATACGATGATACAATTATTCGTAGAATCATATAATTGCCTTTCTTCAGTTCAAAGACTACTGATTTTTCCTATTTTTTTCTTATTCATTATTCAAGGGTAAACTCATGACAATACCCCATTCAAAACCACGTGTAGGTAAACACGTTCTTGAACTGATTGCTCTATTTCAGTATAAGACAGTCTCGATTATTCAATAGGTAAACACTCAATATTCATAAAGTGAATTGGGAGGACTATTAATTTCCACCTTGATAATGTCATACAATGAGACAACACTCCTTATTCGAAACAGGATACAGAAGAGCTAGCAGTCGATATTTTTCAGTCTAATCGATCGGCATCCTGGACACTTGAACGTGTGCCAAGGGTCAAGGTTATAACGAAGCCTCTTCATCTGAGGCCACAGCCAGTCTGATAGGTTATACATTATAAATAGTGTTCTGGAAAATTAAGGCTGAAAAAATCACAATTTTAAATATTGGTAGGTAATATCAGTAATTTGTTTCGTCCTAAACTACAAATTGTAAGAAAGCTACTATATATAGGTTTTCATCATTCATCAGAATATCGAATCAATCCTAAGCTGGTTGAAATTACATCGCCCACTGCCCAGTATATTTCACAGTCCATCGAAATCGAGAGCAGAACCGAAATAATAATTTACAACTCTCTTGTAACTAGTAGGTATAAAGCATAATTTTAATAGATTTAGTTTTGATATGTTGCGACCAGAATAGTTATAGATTTAAGTAACCATTGTCCTACTAGTATAAAGATGAATAAGGACATGGTATCGAGAGATATGGTTGTTGGTTTTTTCACTATGCCTTTTTTCCATCAACCCGATATAGCTTTTGCGCATGCAAAGACAACCATATAATAAGTTTAATTTCTAGGAAGAAAAATGAATCGTCAAGTGAATCTACGGCCCGTGCGCATATTGAATTAACCTTCCTTAGATAGTATTTAGTTAATTTTAAAGTGTCAATATTTACATATTGTTGTTTTTGGACCATTCGCTTGAGCCATCTTGTGTACCTACTGAGAAAACATCTACTGATATCAAATTTGATAAGGGTATTTGGGTACTCGATATACCTTTTCAACAATTCGATTTCTGACCTCTACCAGGAACATCAATTCAGCAGGAAATTTTCGATTGGTAATGCATCTTCTTTGGTGTTTAGGTACTCATTTCCTGAGTTTCCTGGTAATTACATGAGGAAATTCCAGTATCCTTTTATTACATTAATATGTACTTTAGCAATCGATCTCAAATTTCATAGTGTATTCCGTTTAATATAATGAAGTTGAGTGATTAAAAAAAAATAAAAGAAAATATTGTCAAAAAACGACTATAACTATGTCACTGGTCCACTAGAAATGAAAATAAAAAGTCTAGGCAATCATTGACTACTAAACCAAAGCAATTGATATTCCTCTCAGGAAAATATTGAAATCATGATGTTTGACACCCTCTTTCTCATACAGTATGTAGTTCAAGACATACCTAAATGAAGAACTTTCACTTGAAAATGTATTGATAACCATAAAAGTATGTACACAGAGTATTTCGTTTGATACATTCATCAACGAAATTCTCAGCCTCTAAGCACAATGTCTCAGCTCACACAGTATTTTGGACATTCTCGCATCAAGTAACCCTTCCTGTCAAACAAATCAGTTTTGTCAAAATTTTGGTGAAGCCATCGTATGAAACCCCGTCTTCCAAATTAACGTATCAAAATCACATTTAAATTCATCGTGTGTTAAAAACAACCCCCAACCATGGCATTCGTCTGTCCAGAAAAATCCCAACAACGCAAATCCCTGCTATCCAGCCTCAAAGACCTGGTGAACCAAATCGGAGACAACAGCTGCCCCCCTCAGTGCTGTCCCCAACCTTGCGGACCCTGCCTAGCCATACCAACATGCACCCCTGGAACTTGTCCGCCTCAGTCTGCCACTGTACCCATCAGCATGCCTCCAAGCAACCCCCCGATATGTGTACCCCCCATCCTGCCGATCTGCAAGCCAGTACCACCACCATGCGTGCCCATCTGCAACCCCAACCCCGAAGAGCAGCCCTGCGTACCGTGCAACCCCCCGCAGATGATGGTATGCTACAGAAGGCCCAAAAACACCAGCCTGCGACAGTCCAAGTCCAGAGAACTCAGAGCGGGGATCCTGCACGTAGGCTGCGATTGTGAGAAGCACAACGGTCTTCAAGACGACTGCCCCAGGTCAGAATGCCATGGATCTCCTGAGTGTCTCACCCAACCGGATCCCACTTGTGGCCCCAGCGCATATTCCGGAGGTAAACACGTTGGCACAGGCGGTGACAGCGGTTTGGAGCAGTACCAGTGCTACCCTGCCTACATAAAGCTTCCCCAGTGTTCACCGTGCTCTGGACCACCCTCCGGTGGTTGTCCGCCACCTTGTGGCCCGCCATCTTGTGGTCCTTGTTGTCCGCCATCTTGTGGTCCGTGCTGTCCGCCATTTTGTCCGCCTCCTAGCGTGCCTTTGATCGCGCAGGCGCCGTGTCCGCCTCCTATTCAGCCTACTTGTCCTCCCTTGGTGCCCATCGGGAGGGTGGTTCCTGTGGCGCCTGCGGTGCCTTGTCCTGTCATGTGTCCGCCTCCAGTGGCGTGCGCTCCTCCTACTGGGGGCGTGCAGTGTTGTCCACCGTGTTGTCCTGCGCCGTGTTGTCCTGCTCCTTGTTGTCCGTGTCCTTGTTGATTTTTTTGTTTTGTATTGTTTTACATCAATTGTTTCTGTCTGCCATTTTGAATGGATCGTATATCGAAGTATATGAAGAAATAAAAAATAAAGAAACAAATTGATTTTTACTCAACTGTTCAATGCTGATAGAGAATTAGTACCTACGTACAAAACCTTTTAGTAAGCTTGCCTAGCGAGTAAATACATAGGTATTACATCGAAACTGTTCGTCGGTCTATTAAGCTCAAATGTCATTGGATATTGGAATCCTAACTGATAAATTCGAGAGGTGTGAAGACTCTAATTTTCTCTCATTTCCATTTTTATGAATCACTGAATCTGAAGGAAACCAAAAACTAAGAATTTCAAGGTTTTTTTATTCCACCATTGAAATTTCGTAAGTAGGGATACAGAATCATCAGTTATAATCGAACAAATTGTCTGCCAATCATGCTGAATAGAATCTGTAGAGTAAAGATATTCAAATAATATCTATTTATCAATTTATATAGCAGAAGTAAACTACAGACCAGGAAAATTAAAGCACCAATGGAAATTTTGAATCATTTATCTCCTGAACCTTGAGAATTTCAAGATGATTGAAATATCCAAATTAGAATGAATTTCGATGATAATATTAGATGGATATCATTAGTGTTCAATTATTAATAATAGTTTCCACAAAAATCTATCTTCATTCATGATACATCCAACTAACTGTATTTCACCTACTACAAAAAGGAAGAAAATTATTCAACTGGGTACGACGTCTCAACATATCTTAACACTTTCTATTAGACAAAATGAATAATACATTTGAAGATGAACAATTAGGAATCAGAATTAAGGATGAGATAATAATGAATTATTAGAACTGAAAGTATCTGGTAATTGTTTATGAAGTTGATGACTACATTTATATGCATGAAATTGAGAAAAAAATTTTTTGAGTAGGTATATTAATTTAAAATCCCATCTCGTTTCATATAATTGAAAATGCAATGAAAATATAATTACTTTCCACGACAAAGATTCAGTTTACATATACAGTGCTATATAACTTTGAGAAAAAAAGCATGTTATGCCTAGAAGAGTTTTTCCAAAATTGGATGTGAAATGTGTGTTCTAATGCGCTCCAATCTCAAGTGTTCATACTGTATAAGAAATGTTTTCTGAATTCAGATTCAGATTCAGTACTCGGTGGTCCAAAAAATGATCTCCCGGAAGGTCTTTCTGATAGGGCTGATATACTGGATGTCCTAGAGTTAAGTTTGAGGGGAATGGTGGACTGCAATAAGGGAGGAAATATTGAGGAGGAGGTTGGGGGGGGGGGTAATTTTGAAGTGACATATCTGCTGAAATAGGTGAATCAGGGCTTGTTCAAGGACCTACCTTCATAGGGCTCTAGTGCCCTCAGGAAACATTTGTTATTATCTTCATCTGATGAATTTACCTCCCGGAGTATTCGAACGTTATTCTGGGACCCACTGTATAGTACATCTAAAAACATTTGAACTATTTTCAATAAACTTATATCCGAAACTCAATAAGGGACGAAGAATATTTGATGAGAATCCTGAAATATGAAATTTAAATCTATTTAACTGAGATAAAGTGTATCTAGACACCCGTTTACAAACTATTAAGTAGTCCAAACCATGTCAAAAACCTCTCTTCCACGTGAAAAAAATGTTTTTTTAGTGTCTCACGCTATTTCACTTCCAACATAGTCGAATTTCTATAACCCATTTTCGAATGAATCATGTCTACAAAAATCAACTTGTAATTAAAAAGGAATATTCTCAGATAAATTATAACATGAAAAAAATTAAAAAATTGGTACAAATATATTGAAATACATTGAGAATTCACATTATAATAATGATAATAATATAATAATAATAATAATAATCGTCTTTATTTGTTCACCAAGAATTAACATCAAAAATATAAACATATATAATATATAAATATGTGAATATACAGTATATGCCAAACAGTGAACAAATGAGGTGAAGTTGAGCTAAAGCTATTCTACCACTTTACCTCAAACAAAAATAAACTAAATACTAAGACACTAAAAATTACAATTTTTCATTATTAGGATATAGTATAATATGCAATAATTTTGCTATATACCTACAAAACAAAATTCAGATTTTCTAATGCTCTAAAACTCGACACTCAATCAATTTGTATGATTCTGCATATTCAATAAATATTTTTTAACTTTATGCTTGAATTGATTTATATTCAATATTTTCAGATAATCCAGGAGTTCATTGTATTGTTTCGGTGCACGGTAGCTGAAACTGTTTTGAAAGATTGTAGAACGATGTTTAGGAATGTCTAAAGTATGACGAGAACGAATGGTGATGTTATAAAGGTTTCTTCTATAACTAAGTTGTTTTCTTACATAACTGGGCTCAGATGTTACTAAGATTTTGTTAATAAATTGTAACAGATGTAATGACCTCCTATTATTCATGTTCTTTGAATCTTACACTTATGTGATCGTATTTCTTTAAATTGTATATATGAACCTACAACAAGAATTCTGCGTTCATTGAATACGTGTTTTATCATTTATGTCTAGGAAAGGACCATATACGAAATCTACATAGTTGAAAGTCGATAGCACCAAGATGTCGCTTAAGTTTTTTTTCATGGTAGTATTCAACAACTGTCTACTACTATAGAGAATTTTGGGAGCGAAGTACGATTTCTGGATCAATTTGTTTGTGTGTTTCGTAAATTTCAACTTATTATCGAATGTAACACCAAGATTTCATGCTTCCGAAACAACTTCAACTTTTTCATTATTAATATTTATGTCATTATCTATATTCTATATGATGAGAATATCAATTCTTCCTCGGTTTATTCACCAGAAATCAACTAATTTCCTGGCTATTCGCCACGACGAACATTGAATTATATCTATTCAGTATAAATCGATTGAAATTAATTATTTATTATTTCACTTGAATAATATTCATCTTCCTTGATACCCATTTCCAGAAATGAGGTTTGTTAATCTGTGACTATAGCTATTTTGTTTTTGGTAGTAATATCAGCCTCAGAGATATTGGAAGACAATTATCATAAACCACCGTGTATAATAATTTTGTAATCTTCAACAATAGCAGCGAACATTGTAAATGAAATGTTTCTTTCCCTGAAACTAGCACCATCATCCTCAACAATAATAAATTCTGTTACACGTCCTCAACATTCTTTTCCACATTATTACCAATTATTATACCGAATCAAAATTCCTGAGTGTGTGTGCCGTACAATGGGCCTTATCTTCCAGCTTAGACATGCGGCTCGAAATTCCTTGACCCTTCATCTTCCTACTTACCATAAAAAAGAAACCAGTGGGTTATTGAGGTGCATTGCGCTAGAAACAGCTCATTAAACGTTTTTATCTGCTATTATAATCACGTTCCTTCAGATTTATTCTGTTCTTAGGCTCGACTTGGTTCATTTCCATTTGAATCCGATGTATTCTTTATAGGAATACATTGTTTTCTTTGGTTAGCGCTCAATAAACTCGTACAATAGATTTCACAGCATCGTTTGTTTCATTTCAGCGAAATTAATAGGCTCACTTTTACGATAATAAGATGATGGTATTTATATTTCTTTATATTTGGAAGAAACACCGCTCTCAATATCCCGATAACCAATTATTATATAGGGTGTTTGGTTTGTTATCAGCCAAGCTTCAAGCGGTCATCTATTGCCTTCTCGTCAAAATACGAGAGAAGATCAAATGATCAAGAATAATTGTTGAAGTACCTATGTCCTGATCGAGATAATTAAGGCCAGGAACATAAGTAATAAGGGTGACTTTATAAAAACTTTTTGCATTTAAGATTCAACAGTCTTGAGTGGATTCAGTTATAAATCTATTAAGATTTTATGGCGATACATGCGTCTTCTGTCATTACTGACATCTAGTTTTTGATACAGATCCAGATTTTCAAAGTTCAGTAAGTTAGAAACTGGTTGGAAATCAAAATTTCATGTTCTGTTATCATTCTATCAATTTATATCTCTAAATAAATGGCACCCGCATCCAGTATATCTCCACATCATTTTGAAAGTAACTAATCACTATTCCTTGACTAACAGTACCTGGCTCACTCCTTGGATCTTTTGGCAAATATGGAGGCAACAGAGTTGCGACATTCTAGTATATTTTTGAAGAACGGTTCAGTATCCATATTTTCTATCAGAAGAACAACAAATATTCAATAATAACAATAACAACCCAAGAAATGTCACTTTTGGATGCGCATACTCCTTATTCCATTTATGATCATTTATCAGCACTTCCTAAGTTGGCCATCTCCTTGAATTTTAAATGTAAAATCATAAGTCTTAAATTGTTTTATAACATAACCAATGATATCGTGCCAATGATATTTCCATGTTCCATCTGTCATAAGTTATGAGCCTCAAATGTTAGGTGAATAATCCCAAGTCTTGAAGTTTTTTTATAAAGTGGCCCTAAGGGCGCCTCTGAAAGTGGCCACGTTTATACCGTATGGATATTTGGAATCTTAACCAAAGTGATCTCACCAAATTTAGACCAATCACCTCAGTTAAGGAATGTTTACACCATGTAAGTTAAATAACGTTACCAACTTGTTTGTTTTCATTTGATTATTATTTTGAGGTTAGGTTGTGGAACTTCACTGGAATACTTAAATAGATGAAAATACCGTTTGGGAAGATTCAAAATTAGATGAAATTGAATAAAATATCGTTTTGCAGAATCATAAATCAACTGACAATCAACTGAAGTCAAGGATGTACAAAAGTAGACCAAAATGTTTACACCGTCTTGGTAATCATACTAGTTTAGTCTGGTACGCAACCAATTTCGGTACCAAACAAAGCTGGTCCCTTTACCAAGCAGACAGTTTATGCCACACTAACCAAAAGTATTTAGTTATGAAGTCATTAGTCAGCTAACCAAGACATTTTCGGTATTAACCTGGCCAGTGAGTCAGATAGTGTAAAAGTAACTATTTTTTTTGTTTAGATGTATGACGAATTGATATTCATCATACAGGGCGTGGAAAGAAAATTCTAAATTGAGAAAACCCAA